TGGCTATATTCTGGTTGACTCCCAGCAAGTGGCAATACACTTAATTCATCTGTTGCACCTGCTTTTTAGCCTCCTATGTTGCTACAGATGTCCCTTTGTCCCCCAAGTCATGTTCTGATTCTCTGACTGGCAAGACCCATCTACAGTACCTTTCTGCTTCATAATCCCCCACATCCTATCTCCAAATGCATGCCTACACTGTGATAGTGAAGTATCAATAGCCAACAGCTGGGTAAACATGAATCCAACCAGGGGAAAAATACTAGTCTCTTCTTGCAGGTTTCTTGAATCTTAACACATTCCCTCAGGCCTCCCTCCTGTAGCTTCTGAGTGGCGATGCACCCTGTTCCTCCTCCATAGGGAGAGCCTGAAGAACCACGCTCCATTCCCCACCACCACACTTCTCCAAAGGGGGCATCTTTCAGGCTCCCTCCTATCGTGTGGCATCTGGCTGGTGACAGGGGATCTTCTCTGAACCGGCACTCTCAGTAACCTCCACAGTGCTTGGTGGTCCTAAGCACCAGTGGTCTCTGATCTCAGAATGTGGGAGACATCAGACCTTTTAACCTCAGCTTTGGTCTTATTTCAGAACAGTATAAAAATCCCACTTGATATGGTTACATCTGAAGTACTTGAAACTTCTAGTTTTTCTAACCAGTGTTCCTTCCTATCACTACAGCTATAGCATTTAAATTAAAAGACTGAAGCTCTGTCTTTGGCTATACTACACACTACTGTTAAGCTTAGGCCAGCTATTTGACTTTTTTCTTTCACATAATAAAACTACTGTAAATTATGTACAAAACCTTAGGTCAGTTCCCAAGAAGAAAATGAGATGAGTGTATGCAAGGAACTTATTAAGGAGATGATGTCAGATACCAGTATCAGAGTGGGAATAGTAGGACAGAGAAGGGAACAAAGTCAAGCAAGGACGTAGTCTGCAACTTGTAGTTCCATACAAGTGACTTCAGCCTGATTGCTCTGGGAAATTTTGGAGTGTAAGTTGCATCAGTCTGAAGCAAAGGAGCTAGGGTTTCATATAGTAATGTCAAGAGGCACTTCAGGACAATGACACACAAGTATTAGATACATATTGATGGGGCAAAGAGGACATAAAATATAGTGAAAAGGGATCCAAGGAATTTGGGTGAATTCTCATTGCTGATGTCAGATGGATTTTGGCTGAAAGCAAATACCAGAGAGATGTTTACCTGTGTTTTTATTGACTATGCAAATGTGGATGACTATGTGGATCACACCAAATTATGGGTAACATTGTGAAGAATGGGAATTCCAGAACACTTAAATCAAGCTCATGAGGCACCTGTACATAGATCAAGAGTTTGTCATTTGAATAGAACAAGGGGCTACTGCATGGTTTAAAATCAGGAAAGGTGTGTGTCGGGTTGTATCCTTTCACCATAATTATTCAATCTGTATGCGCATCTGAGAAGTTGGACTATATGAAGAATGTAGCATCAGGACTGGAGGAAGACTCATTAACAACCTGTGATATGCAGATGACAGAACCTAGCTTGCTGAAAGTGAAGAGGACTTGAAGCACTTACTGAAGATCAAAGACTACAGTGTTCAGTATGGATTACACCCCAATAAAGAACACAATTCTCAAAACTGGACCTATAAGTAGTATCATGATAAAAGGAAAGATTGAAGTTGCTCAAGATTGCTATTTTACTTGGATCTACAATCAACAAAAAATACTTTTCCTGGAAGCAGCAGTCAAGAATCAAATGACCTATCACACTGGGCAAATCTGCTGCAAAAGGTCTCTTTAAAGTGTTGGAAGAGCAAAGATGTCACTGTGAAGACTAAGGTGCACCTAACCCAAGCCATGGTATTTTTAATTGCCTTTTTGCATATGAAAGCTGGACAAGGACTAAGAAGACTGAAGAAGAATGATGTCTTTGACTTGTGGTGTTGGTGAAGAATACTGAATTTATCATGGACTGCCAGAAGAATTAACAAATCTATTCTGAAGAAGTGCAGCTGGAATGCTTAGACATGAGAATGGCTAGACTTTGTCTCACCTACTTTGGTCATGTTGTCAGAAGGAGCCATTCCCTGGAGAAGGATATCATGCTTAGTAGAAGGTCAGTGAAAAAAGGGAAGACCCTCAATAAGATGAACTGACATAGTGGCTGCAATAATGGGCTCAAGTATAGGAAGGATTGTGAGCATGATCACAAGACCTGGTAATGTTTCATTCTATTGTACATGGGGTTGCTATGAGTTGGAGCTGACTCGATGGCACCTAACAAATACAGCTAGTCAATGTCAAACTTTCTTTTACAAGTTCCATAATGTCATGGAAAAACACCAGAAAGTGGTCATCCACCCTAAGATTTCACTGATAATACCTAGTGGTATCAATAGCCAACATTAAAGTATATACTTACATTACAAACTTGGTAAGCTGCTCAATGAAAGGTAAAATGAACAAACATTCTGAAACAACCACCACCAGACCTTTAATACTGAAGCAAGCATGAGTGCCAAATGGGCAGGGAGGCCACATCTTCTGACCTTCTCTAACCCCACAAAAGGAAGATAAAATCACCATCAGTAGCCCAAAGCCTATTCCTGCAAGGCCAGACATGCTGCCTCCCTCCAGCCCTTTCACCAACCCTGACACTAACCGTTCCTCCCACAGCACTCACCACCTCTCTGCTGGGCCTGATAATTTGCTGCAGTGGCCACAAAGAACTCACACATTGTGGGGTTTATTAGGGAAGCAACAGGCTACAATTCAAGTTCAGGAACATGCTCAGTCTCTCTCCCAACAGTGCTTGTCTCTTGGTGTCTCTCACATCTCTCTCAGCAGTGTGTGTCTCTCACATCTCTCAGCAGTGCGTGTCTCTCACCTCTCAGCAGTGCATGTCTCTCACATCTCTCAGCAGTGTCTCTCTCACGTCTCTCTCAGCAGTGAGTGCCTCTCATGTCTCTCAGCAGTGCATGTCTCTCACATCTCTCAGCAGTGTCTCTCTCACGTCTCTCTCAGCAGTGTGTGCCTCTCATGTCTCTCAGCAGTGCATCTCTCACATCTCTCAGCGCGCCTCTCAGCACGTCTTGCTCACATCTCTCAGTGCGTGTCTCTCACATCTCTCTCAGCAGTGCGTGTCTCTCGCGGCTTTCTCAGCAGTGTGTCTATCACGGCTCTCCCTCTCAGCAGTCTCTCACATCTCAGCATTGCATCTCTCTCAGCAGTGCGTGTCTCTCGCGGCTCTCTCTCTCAGCAGTGCGTGTCTCTCATGGCTCTCTCTCAGCAGTGCGTGTCTCTCATGGCTCTCTCTCAGCAGTGCGTGTCTCTCACATTTCTCTCAGCAGTGCGTGTCTCTCACATTTCTCTCAGCAGTGCGTGTCTCTCACATTTCTCTCAGCAGTGCGTGTCTCTCGCAGCTCTTCCTCTCAGCAGTGTCTCACTTTTCTCTCTCAGCAGTGAGTGTCTCTCACATCTCTCTCTCAGTAATGGATGTCTCTCATGTCCCTCAGCTGGCAGTGAAAGACTCCTTCTGCCTCTAGGAGGGCTCCTTTTGATCCTGACAGAGTGCCCCAAATTGACAAATCCCAACATCAAAATTCTAAACACCTGAGAGAGTGAACTCCCAGAAAATTACTTCATGTTGTTCCCAACAGAACTACTCCAGGTGGGTAATTTTAACAATCAGGAGCTATTCAGTTGCACACAGCAAATTCCACCACAGAATTTACAAAGACTTATGGCTAGAAAAGCCATACTATTTAATTTACTATAGTGCAATGAGATAAAGAATCATCCTCTTGAGTTTGATCCTTAATTTCCCTCAATAGTGCTGCTTTTGCTTTCATGAAAGCACTCACCTGCTTTAGATTTTTGTTTTCTTCAAAGCTATTTCAGAACATTCACAAAATCACAGCTTTCAAAAACATTTATTTTATCATGTATCACGTGCCATCTAGCACCAATCCTTTTAAGTACCAGAATTAGATCGGGTTACTATTACTCTTTGGAAAGGGGGTGACTGAAGTCCTTGACAGATTAGTCTATGTGAGCAGATAACTATCATGATAAAATAGAAACTACGGAGAGTCAAAATCATTTAGTAAAGTTCTAAAGAATTATATTTATAGTAATTTGAAAACCTTTTTACCATTTCATATAAACAATTTAGCTTAGTATCAGTGTTTGTAGCCAGATTTTCCTGGAAGATACATGCAGGAAAAGTGCATGACCGTAAATTGCTTTCTAGTCTTACACCGTTTTCAAACCAAAAAAATTTGTGTAAGTACCTCCCCTCCCTGCAAGTCTCATGATTTGTCTTATTTTCTTCTCAGTAACTAAACACAGTATAATTTACTATCTATATCACATAAAAATGTATGGTAGAGGAAAAGAACATGTATTTTTGCCAATGTAGGCATACAAGACAATATTCTCAGCTTTTTAAAGTAAAAGAACATTTAAGTATTAAATTTATGTTAAAAGCAATGAGGTGGAAGACACATGATAAAACCAAACACACTGCCATCAAGTCGGATCCTACTCATAATGACCCCTCCTTGGATTTCCGAGGCAGTATCACTAAGGAAGTAGATTGCCCAACCTTCCTTCCGAGGAGTGGCTAGTGGGTCTGAACTGTCAGCCTTCTGGTTAGCAGTCAAATGCCTTAGGCACTACACTACCAGAGCTCCTAATAAAAACTGCAAAATTATGTATAAAATCAAGTTTTAAAAAATTTATCTCAAATACAAACTAAAATATACTGGCTTGCATTTAAAACACCCTAATATAGTAATAAAAATTTCTTTAGACGTTTGGTTAATTATCTCAAACTTCCTCAAAATATGCAAAGTCAACCATGCTGCCTGTTTATTTTTGGCAGACTTTAGGCTAAACTCATTACCTATCTTCATGTGAGAAGTGAATGATTCACAATGTTTCTTTTAAGCAGAACTTTATGCTGAGCTAAATAACCTAAGCAGGATTTTAGGCCAATTGGCAGGCAGGCAGTCCATGGTGGTTGCCATCTATGTATTAGATCTTTAAGGACATGCTGGTAAAATCCATGCATACAATCTTCCCAGGCTGTATTCACATGCTTCTTTCACATCTTCAAGTTATCCAGGTTGTTATGAGACTTGGATAAGATAGTGAAAGGATTCATGATGGAAATTTCTAAAAGAAAAAAAGAGAACCTTTAAAGATTGATTTCTAACCACCAATTAAGTATTTACTAGATAGTGATATTAAAACAGAGCAACAATTGTGAGGATGGTGCAGGAAAGGGCACTTTTTCATTCTGTTGTACATTAGGGTCACTATGATTGGAAGTGATGTGATAGCCTGTAACAATAACACCACCACCCTCAATATTAGGCATTATACCTAGTGTGCTAGAACTATGCATACATGTTTAGAGATGATTCTATGCTGACACCTAAAGAACAAGCTATCAAACAAACAACACAGAAATTAGCCAACATCAAAATTATAATCTTTTGTGCCTCAAAAGGATACACCATGAAGACAGTGAAGACAACACAAAGAATGGAACAAAGTATTTGCATCTCATGTGTTAGATAAGCATCTAGTATCTAGAATACATAAAGAACTCTCACAACTCAACCACAAACAGTCCAATTTAAAAATAGGCAAAATATTTCTCCAATAAGCACAAGAAATGATACTCAACATTAGCCACCAGAGAAATGCAAATCAAAACCACAATGAAATTATCATTTCAGACCCACTACCAAAAACAAAAAACAAAAAACCTCCGCTACTGTTGAGTCAATATTGACTCACAGCAACCTCATAGGAGTTCTGGTAGTGTAGTTCCTAAGGCATTTGACTGCTAACCAGAAGGCTGGTGGTTCAAGCCCACCAGCCACTCCTCAGAAGGAAGACAGGACAATCTACTTCCATAGGGATACTGCCTCGGAAACCCAAGGAGGGGTCGCTTATGAGTCGGATCCAACTCGACAGCAGTGAGTTTGTTTTTTGGTTTAGTAACCTCATACAACAGAACTGAACTTCCAAAGCTGAAGTCTTTAAAGAAGCAGATTGAAACATCTTTTTTCCTGCCGAGGTGCTGGTGGGTTCAAACTGCAGACCTTTTGGTTAGTAGCCAAGCACTTAACCAACTGTGCCACCAGGAATCCTTTCATACCCACTAAGATGGCTATAATAAAAAAGATGGACAATGATGAGTGTTGTTAAGGGTGTGGAGAAAGTAGAACCCTCATCCATTGCTGGTGAGGCTATGAAATGGTGCCTTACAACAGTTCGGCAATTTCTCAAACAGTTAAACTGTTATCATCAATTGTATTCCAAGTTATATACTCATGAAAACTGAAATGTATTCACACAAAAATTTTTACATGGATGTTCACAGCAGTATTATTCATAATAACCTAAAAGTAGAGACAACCCAAATGTCCATCAACTGAGGAAGGGATTGATAGTATGGCAGAGCCACACAAAGGAATATTATTCAGCTCTCAAAAGAAGCGAAGTGCTGGTCCATGTTACAACATGAATGAACCATGAACATAATGCTGACTGAAAGACACAGGAGACATATTGTATCATGTCGTTTATAAAAAAATGCCCAGAGTAGGCAAATCTAGAGAAACAGTGGGTAGTGACTGCCAACAGGTATATGAGATTTCTTTTAGGGGTGATGAAAATGTTCTAAAATCAGGGTGATGGTTGTACAACTTTGTGATCTACTAAACAATATACCTTGAAAGGGCCAATTTTATAGTATGTGATGTGTATCTCAATTTTTAAAAAAGGTGTTCTATGCAAAACAAACAAACAAACAAAAACTTTATAGAAAGGAAACTCAAAATCTTTATGCCCTAAAAAGTTCTACTTATAAAACTACACAATTGTCTCAACTAAAACTGGATTCCTTATAGTACAAAACATTTCTTTATTTTTGTATCTTTAATAGCTCTGGTAACATAGTGCCTAAGGCTAACCAGAATGCTGGCGGTTCAAACCCACCAGCCACTCCTCGGAGGGAAGGCTGGGCAACCTACTTCCATAGTGATACTGCCTCAGAAACCCAAGGGGGGTCACTATGAGTCGGGTTCGACTCAGTGGCACATAACAACAACAGTACCATGGCATATACATGTTGATCAGAATTACTAACCCTACCACCCTTTCCTAGTAGTGCTAAAATCTATCCTGCTCCCTAAAACAACCATTTATATTTGCTTTTGGCTAAAATTCAGTTAAGAAAACTACATTATGGACAAATTCCATCAAAGCAAAGATAACAAGTGAGGCTTAATAAATTAAATACGCTTAATCCATAAAATTTATCATGTTGTCGCTTTGTATCACTCATATATACAAAAGGTAAACAGATGAGATATAATTCCTTCCTTCCATAGGTTCAAATTCTAGATAGTCATAAAGACATCTTGCATTTTATGTGGTGTTGTAATAGGTATAGGAAGCACCAAAAATGGTGAACATACATAAATTCTACTTAATTAAAGAGTGTTTTTTTTTTTTAAATGGGCAAATCAGCCCACCTATATTTTACTTTGTTAAAATTAGTTTGAATGATTGAAGAAAGCTTAAAGAGGTCTGAACTGGTATTTTAAAATCTCTCAGAAGTAACAAAGCTCTGAATAGCTAAGTCTTTTGTCAGAGATGATGTCCAATTATTTAAAAAAAAAAAAATCAGAGTTGAAAAGGATCTTTACAAAAGAGCCTAATTTTAGAGAAAGAATCCAAGGTCAAATAGGTTAACTGACTAAAAACAAAGAGTTAGAGCTTGAGTCCAGCAAATCAAGCTGTTCATCCACGCCCAAACCAACACACACACCATCCATATAAGCCCAAAGGCTGTGTCTAACTGAAGAAATCTCCTCAGAGGATAATGAGCCAAGAATCTATTTACCGATTTTTTTTTCCTGATGTATAAAATATGAATGTCTTCACTTCGATATTCTTCATCATGTTTCTCCAAAGGAATTTTTTCAAAGTCAAAGTCCAGTTGAAGGAGCTATATATTGAAAAGAGAGTATTTTCAAATTCATTAATAAAAACTGCTCTATGGTGATAGAAGTCAGAATGGTGGTTACTTCTGGGGGAGTACTGACTGGAAAGGGGCATGTTGGAGCCTGTTGATCCTAAATATGTTTTAAATCTTGATGTTGGGTAGTAGTTACTTGGGTATATACACAGGAAAAACAGTATTTCAAATATGTGCATTGTACGTATGTTTCATCTAGTAAAATGTCTTAAAATATTAATATTTAAGTTCAATTATATTTTGCATTATTTGAGGAAAACACCAAAAATATTTTTTATCATATATCAAAGTAGTCTTTTCAGCTGACGAAACTGCAGGGTTGCACAGATGCACCCTGGTTGGTATAAACGGTTAACTGCTAACTGAAAGGGTGGAGATTCATGCCCACCCAGAGGTTCTTGGAAAAAAGGCTTGGCGATCTATTCCCAAAAAACTAGCCATTGAAAACCCTACAGTACAGTTCTACTCTGAAACACATGGTGTCAAAACAACTCCAGAGAAACTGGTTACAGATGCATCCTTAAGAGTCATTTGTAATGTGAAGGGTATTTTTTATCCATGAAAAGGGTTTGGGTCATTGTTGGGGGAAAGATGCTTAGGACTGTATATACTACTTTTATAATTCTCCATGAATTCAGAATTATTTCAAGATAAAAAGTAGGGAAGAAAAAAGAAAGAACCTGAAAAGAGATAGGATATCTAGGTCAGAAGTTTCATAAAAATGTAGGGGAAAACACAGAATTAAAAAATCTGCCACATGCATGTTTCTATGATGTACTCTCTAAAAGTAATCCATATACCACTAATATATTCCCAAAACCCAGTATGTATGTGTAATTAAAAAAAAAAAAAAAAAACCTTCTCAGAAAAAATACAGACAAGAGTGCCATCATTATTGGTTTACACTGTTCTGGAGATACTAGATAAAATTACTTTAAAAAAAGAAAAGAAAAAAAACTGTTAGATAAAATGGGGGGGGGAGGGCAGAGGATTTGGTAGAATGTGAAAGATCTTCTCTAGGCTCACACAAGTAGAATGCTTTCCTCACTCAAAATGACCAACACATACTTGAACACACAGGTCACTAAGTGCCTCCTGAAGGACAATCACTACAAAGATAGAGCTAGTACTTACCTCAAAATATTTTTTCTCAATTTCTGGATTTTTCCCCATTGTTCGCTGTTCATAACAACATATAATACAAGTCTCTGATCCACTAAGATCTTTTAAGGTTTTCAGCAATGGCTCCAAAGACTGTTTAAAAAGGAATATTTTTTGTTTATGACTTCAAAATTTTTCTACTATGATAGAGAGAATGGGGATGTGGAGGAATTAATTCCAACTCCCCTCCAATTCAGCCATCTTTGAATCAATCCAACAAAACACACTTAAGTAAAGCTCCCTAACTAATGGTGGTAAACTCCTTTTAATTCATCAACCACTGTATCTGACTTGTTCGAAGAAAGGATTCAACGAGTGCATTTTAGAGTTCCCCCAGGGAAAACAAATGGAATCAACAATATTCTTAAAAGTTTAACATTATTTACGCTAATTTAACTTGAAATTCAACCAACCAACCATTTGCCTTACTAAACAAAGTTTGGGACACAGGTTGTCTTAATGCTCGTTATTTAAAATGAGTGAGGCCCAGAATTTATAAAACTATTTTAAAAAAACTCATTCCCTGAGTCTAGTAAGTCTTATCACAGAACAATGAATTCTTTACAACTTAATTCTCAACGTCAGGATTAACATAGTCCCTGGAACAGCTACCAGTTAAAAAAAAAAAAAAAGACAAATCTTAGCTTTCCATAATGCTTCCAACTGCAAAATCCTTTAAAAATTTTACGAAGGCTCTAGTAAAACACAAGTAACAGTGTTCTCAACATCCTTCACAGGCCTCTATGTTAATCATGAGTGTACCTATGTAGTCCAGTCCCTGGTGATCTTTGTCTTCTCTTTACTGCTCCCGGTCCTTACAGCCCCTTGTAATGTGTCTTCCTTACTAGAACCCACAAGAGCTCTGGTAGCATAGTGCCTAAAGCACTTGACTGCTAACCAGAAGGCTGGGGATTCAAACCCACCAGTCACTCCTCGGAAGGAAGGTTGGGCAATCTACTTTTGTAGTGATACCTCCTCGGAAACCCAAGGTGGGGCTCACTATGAGTCAGGTCTGACTCGACATCACATAACAACAACTAGAACCCACAGCAGGGCAAAGACCTTGTCTTAGATTTTTGCCATGAACATTACTTAGAAAATGTTGCCTAACATTACTAAAGCTCAATAAACACTAAAAATGTCATCAACTACACTCCATGGAAATTAGTAACAAAAATGTGAAAGAAATGTGTTTTAGAATACATGAAATACAGTGTGTCTTTTCAAGAATGATTTCACTTGTTGAATATTACCTCCTCATAGTATATGCAGTCGGCCATCAGTATGTAGTCTGGTGGAGAAGGAAAATCTTCTGTTTCTTCCCCCCTTAAAAATGTCAGACAAACATTTTAACTATTGCTTTAATAGTTTTTAAATGCCTTTGTCTCTATAAAAAAAAAACAAAAACGAGAAAGTCTCCTTCGTATTAGCCATGCTTTTAGTGAAAAGCAATTTAAAGGAAACTACAAATCGTTAACTTAAAACAAGCTGAAAGGCCATACAAACCATTTCAGTACCTTGGCTTGAACCGAACCAGTGACAAGGTGCATGTTCATATTAATATTCGTGTTCAGCAAGTCTTGCAATTCCTCAAGGTCGGTGACTACAACATCTGCCCTATAAAATAACGTCGATTGAGGGTGGAAGCAGAAGGGTGATAAGCCAGTAGTCAGGGTTTCCCGCGACAATACGGCCTCCCTTCTCCCAACTCTTACCCGAGAGTAGCGGCCATAAGCCCCACGGCCCCTGTGCCAGAGCCCAATTCAAGCACTGACCGTTGGCTCAGCGTGTGGGCCCCGTCTCCAGAAAACCCAGGCGTTTCTAAGTATTTAGAAAGGACAATGGCAGCATCCCAAACCACGCAGCCCACGCTGCCAGAGCCATACTGCTGGAATTGCAACACTGTGCCATCCCGTTTCTCCAAAGTTCTCACAAAGCTCCGCAGCGGGTCCTCCGCTGAGGACTCCAAGTTAGTCGCCATCGCTACCAGGCAACACAATGCGGCGCGCATGGTGACGTCACATTCACGAGCACTACGCCACGCCTCTTCTCCGGCGCGCTTTGGCTCTACTGCGCGTGCGCCAACGCACAAATGCCAGGAAGGCAGAGTACTCTGGTGTGGCCGAGGCCAGAGACCTCACGTAATCCCTCTATCCCAAAATCGAAACTTGGTTTAAGGAACAGTTTCCCACACAAGGCTAGTGTTATAATCTGCTCTTCTGAAAAACAAAATCAACTTAAGTGTTTTTATCTGGTTGGAGAGCTGGTGGCATAGTGCCTAAGGCATTTAACTGCTAACCAGAAGGCTGGTGGTTCAAATCCACCAGCCATTCCTCCGAAGGAAGATTGGATAATTTACTTCCAAAGAGATACCAACGGGGAAACACAAGGAGGGATCACTATGAGTCGAATCCACTTGATGGCAGTGAGTTTGGCGATTTTTTTTTTTTTAAAGTTATTATTGGTAGCTTCCAAGATCCTACCAAAGTATGACTATGATCCTATAAATGCCTCACAAGCGTTGGTGTAAGCTTGCCGCTTATGTTTAACAGTGAAGAAAAAAATTATCCCTTAAAATGTACATCCCTTCAATTGTCTGGAATTACATAATTTACAGTGCCCTTTAAAGTGCCCAGAATAACTGGAAATAATGTGTGCGTGTTTTACCTCTACAAAACTCACCAACCTCCCCCTTTGTTTCTTACAAGGAAAACACATATTTTTAAAGTCTTTTAAAAATTAAGACTGGGGTGATTTATTAATCTTGTTAAGAACTCTGATACAAAGCACATAAAAGGCCACAGACCAGTAAATAAAACGACGTGGCTTTTGGCTACTTTACAACTGCTGCTACGGCACTTTCATCAAAACACGCTTTCATTACTGTAAACAAAGATGTCCAATGGCAAATAAAAGTTTTACTCCTCTGATTTAAAAAGTTTAATAAAGCTTTAAGTATTTGCTGGTTTAAAGACTACCAGTCTGAAAATATAATTTTTAAAAAAATTCTCAGTTAACACGAGATTTATAAAGAAAGGTTTTGAAGGCAAGGCAGATTTGGTTCCTATGCCGTAAGAAACTTTTCCCCAGAATTTATGAATTAGTAAAGTAGCAGATTGTATTATAAGCCTCAAGTCACTTAAATTTATATAGGTTATTAGTATTATTTTTAAATATACAATATAAACAAAACTGTACATACATGGCATATTAACTTTGTTTTTCCAAAACAATAGGCAACTCATTAGCTAAAGATACTTTAGTCTGCAAAAACAAAAGGCACATCTGAATGAGATACATGCTATATAATGGGCCCTTCTTTCTTTTCAGTAATTGAGTTAGGTAGTCTTTGTTTACATTTTGACAAAGTAATAAACACAGTGCACTCTATTGTTTTCATTCTACTTTTCATTTCTGTCAGCAGCAGCAAATACTGGCATTTAAGACATGGCATTAAAAAGTTTAAGAACAGTGGGTGCTATTCACAATTCTCCTAGATGTATGAAAAACTAGAAGATGGTCAAAGAGGTTTAAAAAGCAGTAACACTACACACCCCCTATTATTTGTGTAAATTCATTGCCTTCAAAAGGCCTTTACTACTCAAATTTGAAAGATTCCACAAATGCGCTAGCCCCTTGCAGTGCAATCAATGTCACTCTAAACTGTATTTTAGCAGAGTCTACAGTGCAAATATAAATTCTTTATACTGGCCTTTTGGCAGCACTGAGGATCTAAGACAAGGCAATGATACTGATCACCTGAGGATAATGGTGAAGAACTTCGGTGTTTTTCCAATTTTTAAAAGCTTATTTTATCAGTAGCAGTTTTTTAAGAGCATTATCTGTAAAAAGTACTAAAATACTATGCTTTTTTTTGAATAAATAAAAAAAAAAAAAGAACTTTACAAATACCATTCCAGTGTCAATGACTACAAATGGCTAAGGTCATTGAGAAGTTTCTGCATTTTCTACCAAAGGCAGTCTGTACAATGGGGGGTGCGAAAGCTCCCGTTTGTAAGTCTTTGGTGGCAGTTTCGGTAGGTGAGGGCTTGAATTCTGCCTTGGTGGAACAGGGGGAGCTGGAGGATGAGCAAGATTATTGTGACTAGAACTGAGCACATAGCATCGACGTGGTACCCTTGGAGAGGGTGTGCTAGGAGGAGTGTTTGGCGAATTTGGACATGTACTAGCGTCTCTGAACCAGTCTGGATCTCTGTGATGATGTCCCATTGGAGGTGGCTGAAGATTAAATGGACAGTTTATGAAGTGTTCTGGAGGCCGAAGGGGAACCGGTGGAGGGGTGACAGGAAGAGGATCTCTTGGTGGCGGAGGAGGTGGACTATGCAGAGGCCCATCAAATGCACCAGTAGGAGCAGGAACTCTGGGTTTTACCTTTGGAGGAGGAGGCTGTCTCGGTGGAATAGCAGGGGGGTCATCATCAGATTTCGTATTTCCCTCAAAAATAAAAATAAAAATAAAAATGTAATTATACTATACAGGCATACCTTATAGATATTTGGATTCTGTTTCTGACCAGTACAATAAAGCACTGTAATGAAGTAACACAAAACTTTTGGTTTCTCAATATATATAAAAGTTACACTATACTGGAGTGTATTAAGTATACAATAACATTATGAAAAAGTATGAAATATTATGAAAATTACTAAAATGTGACATAAAGATTCAAAGTGAGCACATACTGTGGGAAAAAAAAGGGTGCCTACAGACTTGTTTGATTCAGGGTTGCCACAAACCTTCAATTTGTAAAAAAATGCAGTATCTGTGAAGTACACTAAAGTAAAGCGCAATAAAATGAGGCCTGCCTGCACCTCTGTTCTCCTGAGAAATTTCTAAGAAAAAATTTTTTAAAAGATTAAAAAATAATTATGTATCAAATTAAATTAAGAGCCTCAAAATAGACTAATCTGGTTTAATTATTAGATTTATGAGTAGATTCCTCCCAGCTTAACTCAGAGTCTAGTTTAAAATTTTTACATATGAAATGTTCTATCTTAGAATATATAGGGTTTGGGCTTTTTGAATACATTTCATAAATTTATGAGTTATTTATTATTTATAATTATAAGCAAGTGAGTAAAAACAATACAAAGCTTTCTAGACACAAAAGAAGATGTCAAGAAGGCTTAGTGTTCCAGCTTCTGCTTACTACTACTTTTCCCAGTGAGGCTTACAGTACTGGTTCTGAGTGTGATCCAAGGACAAATAATACCAGGGAACTTGTTAGGAATTCTAATTCTCTGGCCCCACACCAGACCTACTGAATCAGAAACTCTGGGATAGGGCCGGACAATCCGGTTTTAATAAGCTCTCCAGGTGACTCTGATGCACCTTAAAGTTTGAGACCTACTGTTTGAAAGTATGAAGAATATTCTGAATACCAAAATGTTTTGAGTACTGAGTACTTCTAAGTGAAATCTATGCAGCCTCTTAGAAAAGGTATTAGGAGGATTAAACAATTATTAAAAATACTTTTCAAATACAACCATCCAAATGTTTAAAAACTATAGAAGGTAGCCAAATTATAATTGACAAAGTCTTCATAAGAAAGAGCACTATTTTGAAGATTCACAACTTTGAATAAGGTGAGACAATGCAAGTCCTATAGACTACCTTGGAATTTGAAGCATCGTGGTCAAACTTTTTTCGAGGAGGAAGAGGAGGAGGAATCAGTGGCTCTTCACTTAGTTTATGTAAACTACCACATGAACTGAAGAAAGACTCTGGAGGAGGGGGAAAAGATTAATTTAGCCACAATTCACAGTTCAATAATAAGACCAAATTTTAATCAAAAGATAAACATCTTACAGCCTTGTGATCCCGTTTGTATAACTGACTAAGTTTATCTATCCTTCCCATTAAACTATAAGCTTTTTAAGAGGAAAGTGGATGTTACTTTTTGTGCCCTTATCACCTACAGTGCCTGGTACTGTTATTTTTCATATTGCTTTTGAAAGGGGTCTTAGTAATTTATCAATTTATGTGGAATAAGTAATGTATGAGGGTACTTTTAAACATAGGTTTCTTGTATTTAAGAGGTAAAAAAGTTAATTCTTTAGGCTAAAAATAGCAGCTCACAGTGACTAAAATTTCTTGGATTTCTGGTGATGCTGAACAGTTAACTATGTTTCTTAAGATGAATTTTCTTTAATATGAACCATCATTATCTATTCATGTCCCCTGTTAATGAAATGTTTTTTCTACTGTGCATGAGGATTTTTCATACTTATTATAAATATTTTTTTTTCTTTAGGGATTTGGTTTAGAACATTCAAAATTTTATAGTCTCAATATTTTCCATTAAAGTTTAAAGCATCAAAGTTTTCTTTTGAAAAATGTACTTTATTATCATTCAATATAATGTCCCAAACTGCTGGTTCTAAAATGGCATAGTAAAGACATTTCCACCACAGAACAAGGAAAATGAGAAACAAATATAAATATCAACAGAGCCAGGACCATCTAAATCCTGAAACTACAATGTGTATGAAAGAGACAAATAGAGGAAAATGAAACCTAAATTCTTACAGACAGAGAGACTGACAGGTGAAAGCAAAATTGTTCCCCTGAACCAAAGGAAGATCAAGAGTTAAAGGCACTCATTACAATGGAAAACCTGATCATGAAAACAGAGGAACTGGATAAATCTGTAAGGAGTAATTAGAACTCCAACTCCCTATCTCCCAGCTAGTGACATACAGAAAGGCAAATACCTGATTCTTACTCCTGTAGTGGAGCTCTGGTGGCATAGTGCCTAAGACACTTGACTGCTATCCAGAAGGGTGGTGGTTCAAGCCCACCAGCCACTCCTCGGAAGGAAGGTTGGGCAATCTACCTCTGTAGTAATTTGCCTCGGAAACCCAAGTCGGGGTTGCTATGAGTCGGATCTGACTCGATGGCAGTGAGGTTTTTTTTTTTTTTGGAGGTTTATTCATTGGAGAATGTAAACCCAAGACCTGGGGACACTAGTGAGATGATGTGCTAAAACACAGAGATTCATAC